GTTAAACTTATATTAAAGTTTTTCTTCATTACCCATTCAAGCCGTCTCCAGCCATTATTAGTCTCAAAGTGGGTTCCTCGTCATCGAAATTGGAGCACATGTTAGGGTTTCAGGCGCCATCTGCTGACTCATAGCAACTTCAACTATATGCTAAAAAAATAAAAATGATTATGGATACAAATCAGCAGATACGACCATTTCTGCAATAATTCAGTATCTAATTATATTTCACGTCGTCAATTATAAAATAAACACACAGACATAATTTAATGAAATAGAAATAACTAGTAGAAACGCCAACCTACGGGCGACTGTTCGACCAGAATCTTGTCCAGTAGTTTGATATGCTTCTGCATTTTAGTTTTTTTTCTAGAAAATGTTCAATTGTTCTCATTTTTTTTTCAATAAAGCCATTCTATGAGCACCTATGCCGCGGCTAAAAAGTGATTAGACGTAGAAACCAATTATAGTCCAAGAGATTAAATGTTTTGCTACCTTCGTCCTTGCTCGTACAATGTACGATTTTAGTCAAGTTATTGGGCCACACCAAACAATCAATTTATAAAGCACGTGATGCTATTGGTAAAATATTCTCTTATATTATATCATATTATAGTAAAGAGAATTTTACCATCGCTGTAACCCCTTGGGGACGACGCAAGAGTGGTTCGATATCGAGGTAGTCACTAAATTTCCATAGTTTGCGACCCCCCCCCCCCAAAAAAAAAAATAGCGTTTCGCACTTTAGATCCTTGGATGGGTGCGATATAAGAGTGACGTTCAAGTCCCACTACTTGGCCTGGCAAGAGTAGCCTAAGAATTAACGGTGAGTGTTTTTTATTAGCTGTCTTCCCTCTAGCCTATCACTTCAAAATCAGGGGCAATTGGTGCAAATAGTACTCATGTAGCTTTGCGCGAAATTCAACAAACACTAGAGAAATTAATATAACTTGCGGAAATGTCGCAATATTAGCGGTTGTTTGTGCTAGTAATTACTAATTGTAGTATTCATACCTCGGTTTGTTTTTTTTAGCTCACAGCTCCATCTCTTGACCAATTTTTAATCTAGTTACAGACGCGGCTATTGAGGATTCCCTCTTGATTTTCAAGTATAAACTTTTATCTGACAGCTCCATCTCTTGACAGATTTGCGATCTCGTTACAGCCGCGGCTATTGTGGATTCCCTCTTGTTTTTTCAAGTACAAACTTTTAGCTCATAGCTCCATCACTTGACCGATTTGAGGTCTATTTACAGCCATAGCTATTGAGGATTCCCTCTTGTTTTAATTTCATCATTCATTAACGTATTCATTAACATGCTTTTAGTATAACAGATGGTCTACTTAAGGAATAATCCGTACTAGATTTCATTTTAAATAGTGCATGATTCTCATGTAATTATTCTATCAGAGAAAACAATGATTGGCAATAATCAAGCTGAGGTTTATAACTACCTGTTTACAATAGATAAATAACTAATAATAATAATAACAAGTTTAAAATAGAAAAAGTAAGCGACGTATTGAAAGAATTTTCATTTGCTTGTGAATTATTTAATCGTTATTATTAACCTCATAAAGGTAGCAAGCGCAATATATTGAAAATGCAAAGAAATTCGAAAGTGACTTCAACGAAATATGCCCCCCAGTGGCACAGCGGCATGTCTGCGGACTTACAACGCTAGAAACCGGGTTTCGATACCCGTGGTAGGCAGAGCACAGATAGCCCATTGTGTATCTTTGTGCTTAATTCTAAATGATCAATGAAATATATATACATTAAACGTTTAATTTTCAACTGTAGTCATTTTTTTGTATTTTTAGATTTTATGTGATATTTACAATTGTATAAAATGTGTTGTAATTGACAACACAGAATCACAAGAAACTAGTTGGCACTAAGACAACAGGAAAAAATATACCTTGTATTGCAACATGTATTCTTAAGACTAGAAAAGGTACTTCGTTTTAGTTTTTAATCTGTATATATATTTGCAAGTATTTTAGTTTGGAGAGTTTTTCTTTTTTTTTTTTTTTTTACTTTAACGTGAATTAATAGCAGTGGTAATTCTAACAAGTTAGATTTGAAAGTGTGCAGAGAAAGTCATATATTTTTTTCTTTTCTTTTTTAGTTAGTATTGTGTCAATTATTCTTTAAAATCCATCCGCTGCTTTTCGGTGAAAATAAACTTTTAAAATTATTATAGTACAGATGATATTCGGGAAGGTTTTTGGGTTTTCCCGAATTTGTATGCTCGGGGAGCGGACAATAAAATATGCCCCCCAGTGACACAACGATATGTCTGCGGACTTACAACGCTAGAAACCGGGTTTCGATACCCGTGGTGAGCAGAGCACAGATAGCCAATTGTTTAGCTTTGGGTATAACTTCAAACAAACAATAAAATATTTTAAACAGAATTTTAAATCCAATCATACAATTACAACAAAAATAATTCCGATGCATTTACGAAGTTACATTTGAGTCGATTGACATTTTTACACCCACTAGACTGTTTTATAACTTTTACAAATGTGACTTTTAATGACGTATTAAGCAATGTACAATAAATAATAATGTGGAACTCTATTACAACAAATGAATTAAAAGAAAGAGAGGGGAATATATATACTAAAGCCTATTATTAGGAAAACACATAAAAAATAATAAACTTATAAAATAAACTCTTATAACTCATCCACGATTTAAGTCGCGGCGAATATTTTTGTGATTTCGCACGGACTCAAACTTGGTTCGTCTGTTGCAAAATCCTGAGCTGTAAGAGAGAAATAAAATTTTGTTGAAAGCCAGTCAACAGAATTTGTGAGTTCGATAAGATTTTTGAAATGTGTTATTTCAAATAAACTTTCTAATTATAAGTGTACTATTTATCATTATCTGACAATAAAGTGACTGTAATGCTCCAAAGTTTGTGTTCTTTTGTTCAAGCTAATCGCAGAGCATTGTGTAATAGTTTCTGAAGCATTATCTACTGATACTTAACACGAATCTATGTACGTACAAAGTCTACTCTCCATAGCACACAATCTCTGATGTCACTCTACGTTGCCTACTTTTCAGGTGTGGTGCAAACAACCGGTTTCAGCGTCAGCGCGTGCAGTAGAACAAACCAAGTCTTTAAGGCAATCTTTATTTGGATCCTGTATTCATCATCACCATGGGATGTTGCGGTTGTTCCCTTGTTTCGTCTACGTTAGCAGCGGGCATTTATTCAATTGTAAGTAATTTTCTCTAACGCGAAAATTATCAATGACTTGGGTAGTTTCACTCGCTTAAAAACTATCTTGCTTGTTTAAAATGTCGACAAAACTCATAATACAAGCAAAACTCCTTCAATTTTCAGCGATCCTGAACCTCAACGCTATCTATTACTAGCTACAGTTTGTTACACTCTGTGCTGCTTGTGCCTTGAAAATTATATATGAATACATATTCATGTATTTATTCTTTGCTTACAAAAAAAAATCAGATCTTTTACTGTAAAAGGGTATTTGTTTAAAGAATTAAAACCAAAACTTTAAAAAGGAAATCTCTGGAAATTGATACTACGATACGATTACTGTTCTCCTTGTACAACTTAACGTTATAAAGTTTGAGATTGCTTTCATGATATTCTATGCACCTCCCTAAACATATTAGTATGTCATTTGGTAAAATATATATATATATATAAATATTTCACTGGTACAAATAGTAGAAATGGAAAATTTTGACAGTTGTTTCGATGTTAAATTTTTTGCTTCATTATTAAAATGAAGCTCTAGGCCTAACATGGCCTGGTGGTTTGGGCGCTAGCATCGCAATATGAGGGTCGAGAGTTCGAATTCCCGTCACCGAACATGCTCGTGCTATATGGTTGCCGGCCACTCACGTGTAATGATGACTAGCTGCCTTCCCTCTAGTCTTTCCCTGCTAAATTATGGACGGCTAGCGCAGATAGCCCTCGTGTAGCTTTGCGCGAAATTCAAAACAAACAAGTCATACGAGTCCCCGCGGTGGATACAGCAGATAGCCCAATGTGGTTTTTTTTCTAAAAAAACAACCAAACGAAACTATCATCCGTGAATTAGTTGAAATGTATTTTAACGCCTTAAGTTACTAAAGCTTCACTTTAATCACCATCTTCATAACAATCTTAATCCCGACTAGTTTGTATTCTGCCCGTAATTTTGGAAACCAAGATTTATTTTTTCACCCACCACCAACTCTTGGGCTACTCTTTTTTACCAACGAATAAGTGGGATTGACCGTCACGTTATAACGCCCCCACGTGTGAAGAGATTAATGAAAGTATTTTTACTTAATCAAAACTATTCTAAGGAGTTCACAAATGTCATTTACGCTTGCCTAAAACAAACTATTCAATGAATATTATAGCATCTCACGCTTATTTCTTTAAAAAAATAATGTTTCAATACAACAATACTCAACGTTCAATTAAGAATTATTGTTGTGTTCGATGAGAAGATAAGAGCTACAATATAAATTTCGTGTCTGTTTTATTCCCCACACATTAAACTGTCTCTTTTACACTCGCTGTTAGTTTTGTAACTTGGGTTATCTTATCAAGGGTGTGTGATATGAAAAACCATAACAACTGATTATTGGATGACTTATAACCCTGACAACTGAAGTTAAGTTAATATATACGCACGCGAGTTTCAACTATTTACTGATAACTGAATTAATAAATAAACAGTATTTAAGCACATACACTTTAAAAGCTTTATTTTATTGTTTTGATTTAGAAGGCTACTTTGCAAAAATCCCAACGAATACCCGTTTAAATGTTTAATGATTTTAATTTCAGGCTCTAGATGACAATAGTATACATATAAAAACGATAGTTCGCAGCAGGATACACATTCCAAGCATTCAATCTGGAGCCCCCCCCCCAGTGGTACAGCGGTATGTCTGCGGACTTATAACGCTAGAATCCGGGTTTCGATACCCGTGGTGGGCAGAGCACAGATAGCCCATTGTGTAGGTTTGTGTTTAATTACAAACAAACAGACAAACTGACTCTGGACCCCTAGTGACACAGTGGTTTGTCTGCAGAGTTACAATGCTAGAATCCGGGTTTCGATACCCGTGGTGGGCAGAGCACAGATAGCCCATTGCGTAGCTTTGTGCTTAATTACAAATAAGCAAACAGTCTGTAAAAAAAAATCGCCTTTGGTCTATCACATCTCTTAATCACCAACTTTCAATATCAGGAACTTTTCGATTCTTACAGTATATGAACATATGAAAACCAGAATACTTAAATCTAAAATAGTTTTAAGGTAAAGCCTTGTGTGCTTTGAAATATGGCAGATAAAATATGATTAAAAGAAAACATTACATTTTAAGTAAACATAAAATGAGATGAGCGTGTTACGATTTAATGTTTAAAAAAGTAAGTATACCCTGCTTTATTTTATCATACCTATATATTTTTCAAATATTTTTCGGCTTTTTTTTTGCTTCGATGTACTAATATATTAAATATAAATTGGTTAAGTACTGATTTAATACGAAGTACCTTAACTTTATATCACTATATAGTCTTTAAAAGTTTGAGAAATTGATAGAAAAGTGTTATTGTGACGGCATTACATACAACTGATATGAAAAAAAGTTTAAGGAACTTTTGAGTTTTATGAGTAGTTACTAACACTTGATATTAGTTCTAGTTCTGCTACATTCTTTGTTAGATGAGCGGCTAGTTTTACCTTGAAAATGTCACGGAGCAATGAAATATATAAAATATTTTTACAACAAAAACTTTTTAACCTCATCTATTAAGTGTTTCGCTATTTGATTATTAATAAGAAGTGTGTATTATTTTATTTCTTTTCTTCAGATCTTAAGTACAATGTCATTAGCCTCTGGAACTTGGGCAAGGATTATGATGACTGAGAAACATCCAGACCCTTCAAATCAGTATGGTTCTCTGAAAAGTTCTTTCCAATCATTACAATTTGACAAGACTGGTAACAAAACTGCATTATATCTCTATGCATCATTTTTACCCTAACGGTATGATTAGGCTTTATGTATGAGGGACAAATATATTTTTGAAAATGAGTAATTTATAAGAGGTAAATGAAGTACTGAAGAACATTCAATATAAAAAAAAAAGCTTTGTATTATTTTAATGTAGTTAAGAACGGCTATGATTTACATAATTGGTTTATAGCAAAGCCACATTGCGTTATCTGCTGTGTCCACCGAAGGAATCGAACTCCGGTTTGTAGGGTAGTAAGTTTGTAGATTTGCCGGTGTCCCACCGGAGACTTATTCATATGAACAACCACACACACACATACTTGAGTTTGTGTACACAAACAAATAACTTTCAACCGCAACAAAACTCACACATATAGAAATAATCAATATAACTAGGATAAGTAAGTGTAGAAACGGCAGAATAAATTTGTGTGAGAGAAGTGCTTGTCGAATTAAGACTCACATGGTGTTAGAGGTGCCTTTATCTTTATACCCAAGTCCCACATGTATAAATTGGCAATGAATTTGAAATTAGAAACTGATGTGGCTGTGACACGTGGAACGAAAAAGTAAACTTGAAATTAGAAACTGATGAAGTCTCTATAATCCAATACTTAACTACAATTTATTGTCAGCAGCTATCTGCTATTCATGAAGCAAAAAAAAAAAAAATCACTTAATGAGTGCTATTCGTGAAACCAAATTATAAATTTAAATGGGTTATTGAAGGCTGGCCACAGAGGTGGTGATTAAAACCTATCTCCAGAGGTTGATATGCTGTTTTCTGCGAGGGTAAGATCGATAAGTAAGTTAATAGTAATTGTAAAAAATATATAAAGGGTTAACTGCGAATCTGCAAACCATTAGGTAATGTGACAGCCACAGCCGATGTAAAGTTGAGGTGGAACAGTATGTATAAGAACTACATTTTGACATCGTTTGGTTTTTCGTAGTTAGTATGATGTCATCGAAATTTGATTATTTATTATGTTGTTTACTGTTGCTAGGGGTACATGAACGGTTTTTGTCACTGACTTTTGTGTTTTCTTGGACCTGGGAATTATAAATTCTCGATCCGAACACTTCATTACAATCTAAATGTATGAATATTTTGCGTCGAAAATTGCTGTTGCATACCCTTCCCAAAAGCGATGAATTCTTGTTGATATCACTCAACATCCTAATCCCTGAACAAAATCAAAATGTACTTCTGGTACATGCTATTACACGGTGACTTTATATCGACTGTGATTGTCACGTGATTTGCTGATTTGCACGTTTTAATATAACGTATCTAATCGCGTATATAACATATATACATAGTTATCACATGGGCGTACATCAATTAGTTTAATAAACACAGAATCAATTCTTATGCATTTTAGAAATCTATTTTTCTTTATTATTACCCTAAAGTCACGTCCTAAACCAAACAAATTCCTTTTAATTTTTCCTCTGCCAATTTCATTTTACGTCATTCGGAATTTTGGCACTGCTACGTAACATCATTGTTGCTGTTTTGTGGTGCATAAAAATTTTCATTGAACATTAACATGCTATTTTCAAAGGGTTTGTTTGTTTGTTTTTGAATTTCGCGCAAAGCTACACGAGGGCTATCTGCGCTAGCCGTCCCTAATTTAGCAGTGTAAGACTAGAGGGAAGGCTGCTAGTCATCACCACCCACCGCCAACTCTTGGGCTACTCTTTTACCAACGAATAGTGGGATTGGCCGTAACATTATAACGCCCCCACGGCTGAAAGGGCGAGCATGTTTGGTGGGACGGGGATTCTAACCCACGACCCTCAGATTGCGAGTCGAGCGCCTTATCCACCTGGCCATGCCGGGCCTATTTTCAAAGGGAAACACAAGCCCTATACATGATTCAAAATGCTTATCTCGAGAAATATCAAATAATGAAACAAATGAGTAATTTACAATAAAAAATCAGAAGGTATCTCTTGTTATATTTGGTTTGTTGAGCTCTTTTCCGTGCAAAACCTTACCAGTAAGCCACGCGCCTATAACACTAAAATTCGGGGTTTGATTGCTACAGTGAGCAGTGTTTAAAGTGATTTCAAAAAAGGTGCAAGTATGCACATATTTGGGGGGGGGATGTTGGTGTTTCTAGAGAATAATGAAATTGATCTGATGTGAAACATTTTTGCGCCAAGGTTGTAGGGACAATAAAGTCAAACGTATTTTCGCACGAAACCGAAGAGGCACTGGTTGGGTGTTTTACAACAATATAACATGTTTCTTGATGACTAATTATACTTATCATCAGACATTATTATTAAGCATGTTATATTTTTAACATGTTTCTTGATGACTAATTATACTTATCATCAGACATTAGTATTAAGCATGTTATATTTTTAACATGTTTCTTAATGACTAATTATACTTATCATCAGACATTAGTATTAAGCATGTTATATTTTAACATGTTTCTTGATGACTAATTATACTTATCATTGGACATTAGTATTAAGCATGTTATATTTTTAACATGTTTCTTGATGACTAATTATATTTATCATCAGACATTATTATTAAGTATGTTATATTTTTAACATGTTTCTTGATGACTAATTATACTTATCATCAGACATTAGTATTAAGCATGTTATATTTTTAACACTACCTTCTTCATTTAGTCTCCTAGGGTTTTAACGATTGGTTTGGTTTGAAGTTCGCGCAAAGCTACTCGAAGGCTATATGCTAATTTAGCAGCTAGTTAACATCACCATCGTCAACGAATAGTGGGATTTACCACTACTTTATAACGCCCCAACGGCTGAAAGGGCGAACATGTTCGGTAACGGGGATTCGAACCCGCGACTAGTAGATTACGAATCGAGCGCCCTAACCACCAGGCCCGGTTTTAACAAAGAAGAGTGTATATTAGTATTTCAACCACCATATGTCCGCCATATTAATTACCGACGACGCATTTTGCTCAATACAGGCCTGAATAAAGCCCTAAGGGACTGAATAATGAATGTATTATTAAACATATAATAGGCATAATACTAATGCCTTATTACATACATGGTTAATCATAATCATGCTTCGCTATCTTAGAAAAGGCGTTCACACCCACTGGTAGTCAGCACAGCTCAGGTAACCTATCATATACCATCGTTATCAATAACTAACAATCTAACCTTTCAGTAGAATGTCTACATTATCACAGCTAATACTAATGAGTCATTGGCGTTAATATTAATTTGAATTTATACTTTAGCTTTCAAAACATAATCAACACGTGAGTGTAACAAACAATATTGCACCAGTGCAAAACAACCTCATCTGACGAAACAATTTATTTTTAGGCCTAACAAAAATCATTGAAATCGCGCCTTACTGCAATTGTTTGTGTGTTTAGTTGTTCCTTTAATCATTCCATTGCAAAGTTCTAATCGAAGTAATTTCAGACTTACATTTTGTGTTTCAACAAGCCTTTCGTTCGATAATGGAGCTTATATCCTCACAGCAACATTAGGGTAAAACTTCGGTTGGTATGTTTATGCTCAAATAGGTTTACACAAAGGGCGAAATATTGCATATTTTATGCAGGACAAACAGTAGCTTAAAATAGGGATAAAGTGAAGAAAAAAAGACAAATTATGTCCACCGATTATCATTACAGGGAAGTATAAGGTTTGTCAGCTGGGATCTATAATTTTCCTCTAGAGGGCGCTTAATTGTGGCTGAGATTAATTTGGTTTAAATTTCGCACAAAGCTACACTAGAGCTATCTATGCTAGTCGTCCCTAATTTTGGGGTGATTGACTAGAGGGAAGGCAGCTAGTCAACACTACCCACCTCTAACTCTGGGGCTAATGTTTTTACCAACGAATACTGGGATTGATCGTCCGCAGTTGAAAGAGTGAGGATGTTCGGTGACGGGGGTTCAAACCTGCGACTCGCAAATTGCGAGTCGAGCGTAGAGATTAATGATTATGTGATTTATGTTTATTAGACGCGTCGCTTGACATTTATTTGAATCATATCACTATGATAATATTAACTGAATATACTTAATTTTTTTCAAATGTTCAAAGTTGTTGCTTATAATTGAATCCATCCGATACCCACCAGTGGGCCAGCGGTAAATTTACAGACTTGCAAGGCTAAAATCCGGGGTTCGATTTTCTGTGGTGGGCAGAATGCAAATAGTCTAATTACGTAGCTTTGCACTGGATGTAATAATCATAAGAATATCAACATAAATGGCGATTTTATCGTAAGATCATTGATTATTTTCATCGTAAATACCAGCTTCTGTTAAGGAACTATAATTTTGTTTACCTGTGTTGGTTTTCTGTTAGGACAACATTGTTCTGCTATGTTGTACTTTGATCGTTAAACAACTATAACGAATGACAAGAGGAGTATAGAGTTACCTGAAATTACCTTAAGAATAGATAATGACAATAATATCCAATTTACCTTGTTTCACAAACCAATTAAAAAACATCTTTTTCTGAACTTTAACTCCCATTATCCCAAAGCTTCCAAGAAAGGTACAATCCTTGGAGAACTAGAAAAAAATACTACACGCTCTGAACTAAAAGCCCCCACAGTGGCACAGCGGTATGTCTGCGGACTTACAACGCTAGAATCCGGGTTTCGATACCCGTGGTGGGCAGAGCTCAGATAGCTCATTGTGTAGCTTTGCGCTTAATTACAAACAAAACAAACAAACCCCACAGTGGCACAGCGGTATGTCTGCGGACTTACAACGCTAGAATCCGGGTTTCGATACCCGTGGTGGGCAGAGCTCAGATAGCTCATTGTGTAGCTTTGCGCTTAATTACAAACAAAACAAACAAACTGAACTAAAATAATTTCTTTTGAGTAACGACTATCTGTCTTCTTACCTCGAACCCATTTTTCAGGACTACGACACGCAAAAACTAGCATAAAAAACACAAATTATCTCCATAAAACTAAAAACTGTAATCAAGAAGAAATCTGAACTTCCGATTAAAATTATAGAACAATCAGGTCCAACACTCAAAAGCCAACTTTCAAAATCTCACTACACTACATTATAATGTAATAAAGCCAACTGTATTGTCTCTATGTTGTTTACTAGCTTACATGTAACATCTGCCATCATACGTACGTTTGGGAAACCGGAAGAACCCTTCACACAAGGATAGAACATATTGACTCTTTATAAACAACAGCATAAAAGATGCGCAGCTGCAGACCATTTTGTAGCTAATCATGGACAAGTAACATCTGAAACCACAATTCTCTGTACGAATCCTCACCAAAGCCACAAAGTACATTGACAGAATATTTTAAGAAGCTCTTCTCATCGAACAACAACGGCCACAGATGAATGGGGACAAAGGATGGTGCCAATAATTATAATTCTTTTATTGTTTCATCTTGTCTTTTGTTATTTCAATCTGTAACTTGGATAGAATCTTTATTTACTACAGGTAACTGTAGTTTATTTCAACAATACAATTCTTTCAACAATAAGCTTTACTACTTGATATGTCAAACTCACGCTGTAGAAATGCACGTTATACATTACATTCGAATTTATTTATTTACACCAATTGAAGGTTTGTAGTGTCAGTTATGGTTTTTGTTTTGGTGGAACGCTCCTGATAAAGCTGTAAAGTGAAACGTTGAATGTCCAGCTGGAGTAAAATAATAAATTTGATGCTATAAGGTCGTTTATTACTAGTATTAAAATGTTTTTATACGCAAATATGCACTACAGAAATTAAATTCCATATTTTGATGAAAATTAGAAAAAAAAATTCTGTTTCTATTTGTATTTTAATTCGTACTATATTTTATTACATATCAACGAAGAACAGTTATCATTTGGATTAAAAGGACAGAAAAATAGCACATTGTTTCTATAAATATTTGTTATATTTTATCGATTAGGTTGATAGGGAGTCTTAAAATTTACAACAAAATTATTTCTAAAAAAACTTTTAAACTAGTTTGATCTATTTAAAGTTTCCAGTGGTGAAAAGATAAATGAACAACACACACACACACTTAAGTGCTCTTCTCCAGGTCAGAGGTCAAAGTTTGGCTACCCTAATTGTGACGTAAAGCATATTGCAAGAATAAATATTTAGTATATAGTATAGTGCCTGATGATGACAAAACCTTGTCGAAACGTTGTACATTTGCTGTTATGTTAAACTTATATTAAAGTTTTTCTTCATTACCCATTCAAGTCGTCTCCAACCAAATATTTGGTATAATTGTTTTGTTTTTTTTTCTGTCAAAGGTTTGATATTTTAATTTGTTTCGTCTTAGAACATAGTTTAAACAATTGGAGAAAAATCTGAAATAATTAACTCAATAATTTTAATATTAATATATCAACGTTTCCCAAACTTTTTGGTCACGAACACTTTTCAGCTGAGAAAAAGCTTACGGAACACTAGACACGTGAAATATCGGTGTAGAGGGTATGTTGCGCGTGTAGCGCCTTCTAGATTTGTATAATATTCATTCATTTATTTAATCAAGTTACATATTAATGAATTTCTACATTTTTATGCTTATAATATATTTTAGGTACACACTTCTCCACTAAGATATTATGTAGAATAGATATGGCATCTTCAATAATTCTTCTTCAATGCGAAACCGATATTATCTAATTCTAATACATAGGAAAGTATTTCATAATAAGTTATGATCGT